CTGAGGCCTTGGAGAAGGCTTCCAAATTTGAGTGATGAAGTTAAAATCCCAGGTGTGTAGTTAAATAGAAGTCTGTGCTTTCACATGGTGAAGGGGTTGGAATTTGAGGTTTTTATAATATAGTAATAGGCATGGGACAAGATGGAGGATTTTGGGTGGTGTTTCTTTTGGTGCTCATCTTTCTTCTTCTTCATGATTTCAGGTAGTAGTTTCTGGTTGGACAGTTAGTGCTGCACTGAGGGTCACAGGAGTTTGGTTATTGGGTTAAAAGTATAAATAACACAGGTGTTACTTCTCTATTGGACTGTTGAGCTTTAAGAGACCTTGTAGCAGCTGGATCTCTCTCCATTTTGCTTGCTTCTAACTGGTGGCTAGAAGTGTTGCTGAACTTTCTGTACTTTTGATACATTCTCCATTTCAAGAGAGGCTCCTGCCTTTCTTGGCAGACACCTGTCTTTCAAACCAAGACACTTGGCAGAGCTGCAAAGCGTGGTGAGAGCACGTGGGGTGTGGGCACGAGGGGGCAGGTGAGGAGAGGGGTCTGCAGGCACAGGGGAAGCCAAAAGAATGGTTTGTGACCACTTCTTTTCTAAGGCAGAACAGAAAAGCCAAAAGCCTCCCAGCAGAGACAGAGGCGGGTTGGGAACTTCCCCCAGCCCATGTGGGTTCACAGTGCCCCCTCCCCAGCACGACCCCAGCTGCTGCCCTGGCAGACAATACTTGCATGGAGCGCAGGGCCAGCAGCTGCACAAAGGTGTCTGCTCGAATCTCGTGGATCTTGTTGTGCTGGAGACCACTGGAAAAACAGAACCTGGTTTGAGAAGAGAGCTGAAGGCAGCATTCCTGTGTTATGGAGAGCTTTGTCCCAGTGCAGCAGACTGGCACAGTGGAAGTTGCTGTGCTTGGGAGACCTACTCTTATTCCAAGAGTTAAACAGGATGAGCAGCAAAACATGTCAAAGCCACATCTCCTTTCCACTCCTTCATCCCCTGGGGAAGGGGAAAGTGCAGGGTGAGAGTTCACACAGACTCTGCTGTCTGACCTACACACTCCCCACATCCTCAAGAGACATCCTGGATGCTCAGAACATGCACCCTGTGGGAAAGGTTCAGTTCCTCAGTTTTGTTTTCCCTAGTGTGAACCAGTGGTGAATACTTATTAAGATTCCTGCAGAATGCCCATCATGAATTCCCAGACCTGCAGAAGCAGTGTCCCCCCATCTGTGACCTTCTGCAAGGGGAGACAGCCTCTGCCTGGTGCTCCAGCTACAGCAGCTCCCTGGGCATTTCTCAGGTTGCTCACCTGCCTGTAGAGTCACAAATGATATTTGCTCCTCTCACTCAAGGACCCCCACGTGCTGGCTGTAATGTCCCAGCTGGTACTTGGCCAGATGCTCCTGTTTCAAAGCTGGGCACTTGAGCTGCTCCTTTGGTGCCCCAGGTACCCAGGCTGGCATTGCTCCCACCTCTAGCCAAGATTTCATGTGGAACTGGAAGATCTGGGCACAAATTTGGAGGTCTCACTGATTGGAAGAGGTGGAGTTTGGGCAGAAGAGGTATTGGAGCAAGGCCCAATAATAATTTAGGGGTGTTTAGCTGTAAGGAATCACCTGTGTGATGCAGGTAAAGGTCTGCACAGCCACACTTCCAGCAGGGCGAGGGCACATCTGAGCTCTTTGTGTGCCAGGTTGTACCACCAGGCACCACCAGATTTGTTCCAAACCATCAGGAATGCTGATGCTTAGTGGGGCTTACAGGACAATAACTTTGGAGTTAAGGGACCAAATACTCATTTTGGTCACTTAATTAAAAAAAAAAAATCATTAAAAATATTCATTTAAGGTATATAGGTATAATCTATTTGACTTCATTAGCCAGAAACTGGGATTAAATGTGATTTTATATTAATATTTATATTTCATATTAAGCATATTATATTAATTTGGAATATTATAAAATTTTGTAAGAAGAAACTTAGGCAGAATGTGTGAAACTACAGGTTTGAAATTCGGAACATTTGCCTTATTTTGGCGTACTTTCTATTTTTTTCAGATGTTTTCCTGGGGGTACTCTCACAGCTGCCATAAAAGGCATCAGGGGCTGGTGTAATCTTGTTTCTATGTAGTTTCACAGTGTTCTAATGTCCAGTTTGCTAAGGCTGGATGAGCTGGTCTGACTGTGCAGGCTGGGGTGCTACAGAGAGCAGGGATAACCTCTCCTGTGGGCTTTTTAATGGGGATGCTGCTCCCATACATCTGTTCTTCCAGGTAGCAGAATTCTGTAAAAAATCATGGAGTCTATCTTAATTTTATTTACCAGTTTTTCTCGAAAAGGCCAAGAACTTCTGTTCTATTTGAAGTGTGGGGCCAGATCTCCAGACACTGAGCTGAATGTGAATAACTTTGTCTCAGAGCAGCAGCAGCGCCTCCCAGGGCCTGGAGAGGACCCAGTGCAAGAGCTACACCTGAGGAGAGAATCCCCCTTCTGTCAGGAGGGGCTGGCCCTGGGCAGGCTGGATAAGAGCTGCTTTGTGCCCATGGGGCCCCTCCTTGAAGCAGAAGACATTTATGGTGGATACAAACCCTATCACATTGCTTAGCTCACAGTGGGACTGGAGTTAGTGAATTCAGTGCTGTCCTGTCCTACTTCTGTTGAAGTGTCTGGGACCTCTGAAAGGACCTGCCTGAATTAAGCTCCTATGCACAGGGAATGTATTTTTATTCTGTATGTGCACAGGGGCAAGGAGTGGAGCTCTGGTTCCATTTGCACTCCAATCAGTGAGTTCTAATGCCCAACTTTCCCAGTGCTTAGGGGTCTCTCTGAGTGGGAACTGCCCCTCCCCTCAAAGCAGCCCTTTTCCCCCAGAGCACAGCACAAACACGGACATCTCCATACTCACAGCTCCTCCAGCTGCTGGCACCGATGGAAACTGGGCAGCTCTTCGATTTGGTTGTGTGACAGCTCTCTGCAGGGAGAGGAGAGCACAGGGATGTTGGGACATCACAGGCAGTGCCCTGAGCCCTCCCTGGGAAGGCAGGTGCTGCTGGAGAGCGAGGTGCCCTCCCCTCATTCTGCACAGCTCCATTTTTGGGAAGCCCAGTGAGTGGGATCTCCAGCCTGCGCTGATGCTGGCTCTGGGTGTCTCTGTGCAAGGTGAGGGTTGCCCCAGGATTTACCCACCCCAGCCCAGCCCAGCCCAGCTCCCCCAGCACAGCCTGTGAGTGGAGCTGGGGTACAGCTGGGGTGGGCTTGTCCTCCCCAGCCTCAAGCCAGCTGTGGAACCTCCCGTGCCATGCACAGCCCTGCTTTCTGTGGGCACAGCACAGAGAGATTTCTGCCAGAGCTCGCAGAAGCTGCAGATGTGCCTGCAGAGCCTGGGGAGGTTTTGACCAGCCAGCTTCTCCCTCCTGGCACAGCAACTCCACTGCCCGTTGCCTGCTCCCCATTCAGCCTTCCCTGGCTTTCTCCCAAGGTTAGGGAAGGGGTCGTGGCATTGGCAGGGATTTGGTTCAGGACATTACAGACTTTGAAAACCTCTGGTCCTTGTTCTTTCAAGTGCTGTCAGTCAAAAGCAGTTTGCAGCAAACTCCTCTTCCCACTGATTCATGGCCCATGTCATGTCAGCATCTAGAGTAGAGTGGCTTGATAGTCAGAGGAAAACCCACCCTGGCACAGCTTAATGAGAATTTATTGAAGCTGAAACAGGCTGGGTAAGGAGCAATGTTTAAACCTAGCTCTTTCCCCCACCAGCAGAAACTGGATTTGTGGTTGTTCAAGGGAAATTTGCCCCAGGGTAAAGTTTTGTATGTGGTTTCTCTGCCGACTTTCCAAACTTGGTTTCCATCTTTCTGCCAATAGATTGCTCCTAAAATATTTCAATTATTATTATTTTTTTTGCCAACCCACACACGACCAGTTTTCCGTGGTGGAGAGGAGGGAGGGAAAAGCAAGCAAAAGGTTTGTGCTGGGCTCTGGAGGCTGTCAGGATGGAGAAAGAGCCTTAGCATCAGTCACTTTTCCCTGGTCCCTGTGTCAATCCATTGGGCTTGGCAGGGCTGTAGCTTAGCTAACAGTGATGGGGCAGCACCACCCCCAGGAGTTATTTCTGGTTCCTGCAGAGTGAGGAGAACCAGGTGCAGCTCAGAATTTACAAACAGAGCAGCCTCAGTCACTCGTGCTCTGTCAGGAACACATCAGGATGAAGGTGTGATGGCAGCAAAGGGATTTCAGCTCTGCTCAGGGGAGTGTCACCTATTTCTGCTTGAGAAGAAAGTCAAATCTTCCAGGGCTCAAGGAGCATTTGGACAACTGTCTCAGGCACAGGGTAGGATGGTTGGGGTGTTCTATGCAGGGCCAGGAGCTGGACTCAAAGATCCTTGAGAGTCCTTTACACCTCAGGGTGTACCATGGTTACAGGAAATCTGTGCCCTGAGCAGGAGCTCTGGATGAAAGCAGCAGGATGATGCCAGGTTGATGCCAAAGGCTGCCCTGCCTGTGTGTGCTGGGTTCAGCACGGGTGGCATCCCAGGATGGCTGTGACCCTCTGCCCCTGCAGGGGCTCTGCAGTCCCTGTGCAGGATCCTTGCAGAGAATCCACACCGTGGTGTGGGGCCAGAATTGCAGCTTTAACTGTGCCATCTATGGTGAGATGTGTCACAGTCACAGCTCCTACGGCTGCCAAGGGACAGGCAGAGACCAACCACTGAGTCTGTGGGGATCAGGGGGGCCAAAGTATTTCAAGGGCAAGAGAGATGTAAACATGCACATACTCTCTCTCCAAACCCTGAAAGCAATGCAATTAATGTCAGGAAAGTTCACTAGGAAAGAGGAACAAGAGCAAGGAACAAGGTGGTGTGTCCCAATCAAACTCTCCCACATGGGGGGTAGGCACAAAGAACAGGCTCTGCTATGAGGGTTTGCAGTCTGATAACTTGAGAACATAAACAGAGGTCTGGGACCCAGCAGCCTGGGCCAGTCCAAAGGCTGCACTTTCACAGCAAGTCATCCATTGAATTGGTCCAGATGTTTAAAGATGAGAGATCTTCCCTACAGGGACATCTGGAACCAAAAGCCTATAATCTCCTAAGTTAAAAATTGTCTTCTTTTATTTTTATGTTTTACTCTTGTTTCCAATTTCTGTGATCAAGAATTCACTCCTGTTGCTTTCCTGGAACAAACTTGTTTTCTTTTTCAGCTTGCTTGTATAAAGACTGATGAGAGGCAAGCCTGTTGCTGCCCTAAGGCTGCAAACTTGTATAAATCTGGCTCATGACTCATTTCCTGAGGATGTCTTTGACTGCAAACATAGTTGGGGATCTCAGGAGCTAGGGGTGTGATTCCTGAGATGATGCAGAACCCTTCTGAGATGTTGATTTCATCATGTACCAAGCTAAAGGAGAAAGCATGGCACCCCAACATCATTCAGGGCCTGGCTAAGCAGGCAGAGCCAAAGAAACAGAGACCTGGTCTGTCTGTGCTGCCCCATGTGAAGAAATGCAGCCCTGTGGCCTCACAGGTCTCCATCAGGTCAGACCTGATCCCTCCTGGGATATGAAGAGGATCCTTCCTCCAGATGATGACACTTGCTGGAGCTCCAACTGCAATAAGCCAAGGCTGGGGCAGAGGGTGAAGGTGATTTCCCCCTTTTTGGGCTAAGAGCTTAGCAGAGCTGGGAGCTGTGAAATGCTGTGGCCATTCTTACCCATCTCCTTTGGTGCCCTCTCTGTGCCCCTTGCATGGGCAATTCCTCCTGGTGCAGAGCAAGGAGTGCCTGATACAGCCCTGACACCAGAGCATCATGCTGGGATGGAGTTGAAAAACAAGCAAGAGCTCAATGTAGTGAATAAGAAGGTGGTGATTTCTGCATGGAAAAGGTGATGGGAGCAAGAACCACAGGATGGTCTCCCACAGCTGGTCCTGTCCCTGAGCTAGACAAAAGGAAAGCCCTGCTCCTGAGGGCGTTTCTAAAGGAGCAGGCAGGACAGAGACACAGGTTACTCACAGGACTCGGAGGCTGGGCAGCTGCTGGCACATCCTTCTGGGGAGGAAATGGATTCCTGCCCGGGTCAGGGTCCTAGAGGGATGGAGGAGACAAGAAATGGTGCTGCTGACAGCCAGCACCCAGACTCTGTGACCCAGAAGCCCAGCTGCCAGTCCCAGACAGTGGCAGGAGACAATATCAGTAGGACAATAAAATACCTGGAGAGGATAAAAATCTGCCTGGCAGTTTTGTAAACAGGCACTGCTGCTGTGCCTGGCTAAGGTGAGTGTGCCTATGAAGAGTTCTGGGCCACTGCTGGGTACTGAATTCACAGCTGGCCTCGGCCTTGCTGGGGCAGGTGGCAGTGCCATCTACAGCATGCCCTGCTGTCTCTGATCCCATTGCCCAGGCTGGAGCCAGGACTGCCTCAGGAACCTCTGTATGAGGAATGGACGGTGTGTCCCTGTGTCCCCGTGTCCTTGTATCCCTGTGTTCCCATGTCCCCGTGTCCCTGTGTCCATGTGTCCCTGTGTCCCTGTGTCCCTGTGTCCATGTGTCCCTGTGTCCCTGTGTCCCTGTGTCCCCAAGACAAGCATGGCCAGGCCACCCCCTGGCCGGGGATGCTCCCAGTTTGGGCTCAGCATGGGGACCAGTGTCCTCCAAGGCCTTGCTCTCCTGAGGGGGTGAGGAGGGGACCCAGGAGCCCCAGCCTGGCTCGGATGATTCCTGAACTGCACCACGGTGCTGCCTCCAGTATGGGCACAGCAGGGACACTGCACTCAGAGTTCACTCCTTCACAGATGCAGAAGGGAAGGAAGAAAAAACCAACCAACCAACCAACCAAAAAAAAGACTGGAGCACACTCAAGAGTACCAAGAGAGCCACTCACAGGGAGGAAAGCTGCGTTCAGGAGCCACAGGGGTGAAACCAAGCAGAAGGGTGAGAGGCAGAGCTGAATACTGCACAGCACTGGGGAGGTTTCCTCACTGAAACAGCCTGGACCGCCTTGGAGGAGGAAGAGCACAGCTAGCAGGGTAAAAGGGAGAGAGGTGCCACTCACAAAACTTCTAGGCTGGTGGTGCCTTTGAGGTCCGGGAATTCCCTGATGTCTGTGGCTCCATTGAGCGACCTGCAGAGAAACAAGGGTGAAGTGAGGTGGGCAGGGGAGGCAAGTGCAGCTGCCCAAGGCTCCTCCCTGTGCACACAGGTGCCCCACACATCTCCTCCTGCACTGGAGGTCAGGAATGACTGCAGATCCCAGCCCATAAAATACCCACGAGTCTTAGAGAGGGGGCTGAGAACTGGGGACCCTCCAGAGCCAGCAGAGCTGGTCTGCAGTGACCCTTGCAGAAACAGCCCATTGTGCTGAACTTCCTTAAAGGCATCTCAGGTGGCTATGAAAGCATCAGGAAATGGAGATTTAAGTGTCTAGGGTGAGAGCATCTTGAAGATGGCCCCTTCTGCACTTCATCATCCCTTTATTAATAGTATTAATAGGAAATCAAGGTTCCAGAGCCATCGGGCATGGTGGCAAATCTGCTTCCTCACAGCCAGATGTGCTCAAGGCCCAGATCCAGCGTGTCCCTGGGGCTGGAGCAGACACCTCGTGCTGTGCAGATACAGCGAGATGGAGCTGGGCACTTCTGTGCAAGGAGACTTGGCAAGCTCAGAGCCTCTCCCAGCCACTGAAATTCTTGGCAAGATCTCTACCCAAATTAAATAAAAAAACCCCAAACAATTACCACGGGGAATGTAAGCAGGGCATCCCACCCAAGCCTCCCCGGGTCTATGCATTTGGATCTAAAGAATGCAGGGCTATTTGAATGATTTATTTTATGTGCCTGGGTGAGGCTTGTAAATAGAGATTTATGAGGTTGCCTCTGCCTCAGTATTTTTAGTGCTGTGCCACAACAGGTTGGCTGAAAAGCCAGCGTGGGGAAGCTGCTGTGGTTGAGGTGGTGCCCAGGCTGTGCTGGTGGCCCTGGAGCAGGAAGCACGGCCACTGCTGGCTGCCCAGTAATATCATTTGTGTCATGGTGCTGGGATGTGTTCCTCCACTTCTCCAGCTTGTGGAGGAAGGCAGATGCCTTCAGTGTCCTTCTGTTTGGGCAATTATAAGCTGTGGCACTTATGAGACCCTGCAAGGCCTCAGTGCCTGTCAGCTGTATGGGGAGGAGAAATTAGTGGCTGCCTCCAAAATGGCCTTTTCAAAGTTACCCTTCCTCAGAAGAAAACATCTGCAGTGTTTACACCTTTGGGGGGTGGGCAACAGAGTGGTTTCATGGTCCTCTATTGGCACAGGGGCTCTTGAAAAAACCGAGGTGGGGGAGGCCACAAAGGTGGGCACATGGGGCTTGGAGCTTGGGTGTTACCTCTCTGGGGATGTGCTTGGTGAACTTACAGAGTGTGGAGCTTTGGCAAGTACTGGAAAGCAGACTGTCCAACAAACTGGATGGGATTGTCATAAAAATGGCTGCAATGGGAAAGAGGAAGGGGTCAGAGTGTGCTCACACAAAGAGAAGATGCTGTTACAGGTGAAGAGTGTCAGAGCTCCAGCAGCAAGCCATGCAGGAGGTGCTGCAGTGCTGAGGAACTCTTGTTCCCAGAAAAGCACAGGCTGTCCCACTGGCCTGTTCCAGCTGGGCATTGGGACAACTGAGCCCTCCTGCTGCTCTGAATGGGCCCCTTGGGTCCTGCTGAACCAGAGGGGCTGGGAAGGTGTAAAGCCCTTCTCCAGTCCCACTGAGAAACACCTTGCACTGGAGGACACCTTCTGTGGTCTCACACACAGCACCAGCACCTTTCCCACTTCTTGTTAGGTCCCAGAAACCTGGGTTTTTAAGCTTTCTGTGATCTCTGACCCCCTGGAGAACACTGCTTTTGACCTGAAGCCTTAGAGAAAGCTTCTAAATATGAGTAATAAAATAAATAAATAAATAAAAAAATAAAATAAAATAAAATAAAATAAAATAAAATAAAATAAAATAAAATAAAATAAAATAAAATAATAAATAAAAAATCACGAGTGTGTAGTGAATTAGAAGTGTGTGTTTTCACATGGTGGTGGATTTAAAATTTGAGATTTTTATAGTATAGTAATAAGTATGAGACAACATTGAAAATTTTGAACGTTATCTCTTTCTTTGTTCATCTTCCTTTTTCCTTCTTCTTCATAGTTTTCAAGTAGTAGTTTCTGGTTGGTCAGTCAGTGTCACTCTAAAAGCCATGAGAATCTAGTCATTAAGTCAAAAGAATAAATAAGTGTTACTTCTCTATTGAACTGTTTAGTTTTAAGAAGCCTCGAGGAGCTGCATCTGTTGCCATTTTTCCTCGCTTCTAGCAAGTAGCTCGAAGTGCTGTCGAATGCTCTGTACTTTCTTTTCTAAAATTTAATAAACAACCAAGCCCAAACACGAGAAAATACATTTCCATCGTGTTTCTGTCAATCCCAGCTCTGAGTGAAGGCAAATGAAACTAAAACAAATCGCTAATTAAGTGGTGCAAAGCCCCCACACCACTGCTACAGCTTGTCCCAGTCAGTGGAGAGAAGTGAGCTCTTCTAGGACCCAGTGAGACACGGGAGGAGCTGTCACCTCCTACAAGAAGCACTTTGCACCCCACTGACTGTGAAAGACTTTGGATGGGCAGATGCAATGAGAGATGAACATTGTGGGTGTCTGGGCCCCCTTCATCACCCTGTGGTGCTGCCCAAGGGAGGTGGGGATGAGGCTGGCTGCTCTGCCTGCAGCAGGGAATGCTTTCAGCCAGTGTCACCATGGCTTTCCAGATATTGGTATTTCTATAATTTAAGTCCAGTTTGGACGAGCAGAGCTTTTGTCACTCGCCACAATTTTCAATATCTGTGTGGTTCAAGGAAGTATCCAAAAACACCCTGAGAGCTGGGCGTGTTTGTGTGCAGAGCTCTGTGTCCCCAGCTCAGGGCAGGCACAGGGCTCTGGGGTCCCAGCTCTGTGACACGTTCTGCTGCTGTGGCTGTGGCTGGCCAGCAACTTTCCTGCACACAAGGAATAAACATTAGCACATGTCAGCCGGGGCTTAGGTGGTTTTCATGCAGACCACCTGGATTCTCTGCCTTCCTTGCTATCAGCCTGGGCTGCAGGGAAAGGAGAACCCACATCCATTCTGAGAAGGAGCTGAGAAGAAGCAATTTCAGTCTGCTTTGGCACATGGATAGCAAATATTAGATTGTTGTCATTTGACCACTGTGAGAAATCCCAACTAAAGACATCAAGAAATGTCCCTTTCTGGACAATATAAAGTTGTAAGAAACATTATTGAATTTTCTTACATTGTTTGGAGGAGGGGATTCCCAACGAATGCGTTCTCTGGAATAGCTTTGATGTTGTTGTTATGAAAACCACTGTTGGGAGAAACAAAAATTAAATTGACTTTCTTTCTTTAACATTTTTAAAGCCAGAGAGCTTTCAAGATATACATCAAATAGGAGATACAGGCTCCTTCCCAGGTGCAGCAGCATCCCAGCAGGTGAACAAGGTCTGTGGTTTGGCAGGACAAAATTCACTTCATTTACTCTGGGTGCTCCAAATGTGACTCCACCAACTCCACTGAGGGTACAAGGTTTAACACTTTACAGGTCAAAAAACAGAAATAAGCCAAATACAAAATCTTCTGTCCTCCAGGAACTACAATTTTTATGGATGGTTTCTGCTACAGCTCCTCAGCTGCCAACCAAAGTGTGCCAGGAATTATCACCCCACATGACTTTAAAGGATTTATAGCTCTAGCTGTGACATTTTTGGTTGAGCTTGAGAAAATTTCTATTTGCAGCAGAAGAGAGCTCTGTGGCCACAGTCTGACCCCTTGTACAGCAAAGGCAGCCACAGGTTCCTGTGTCCAGGACTAAGAAGAAGCTCTGGCTGATGCCCAGGTTGTTTATCCCAGAGGAGTCTGAGCAGCTGATTAGTTGATGACTGTTTGGAATTTGCCTCTTCTTTTGTGACAGGCATTTCAAAAGCCATCTCAAAGGGGACCGAGGATCTTATTCTCATTTTGAAAGTGAGAATAATGATGATATCTGGGCTGAACAGAGAAATCGCATGAGAATTGTTCTAGTAAAGAAAAAAGAAGTGTCAGATTTTTACTCTAAGGCTCCCAGAAACACGAGAGCAGCTGCTTTTGTCCCACCCCAGCCTGGGACCAGTGTGACAGATCCACAGGAACTGTGGATCCACATCAACTCACCCCACCTTGGGGCTTCTACCTTTGTGGGTGACAAGTGGGATGGTTTCTTATTTTTAGTATCTCCCAGTTAGAGGAAGGAGAGCAATCCACTGAAATAGTAATAAACTTTGGTAATTCCCTATTATAAATTTATCCTAAGGGAGATAATACAGCTTCTTCACATTAGAGAAGGTGGCCCAGGGCCTGCAGAAACAATGGGCTCACAGTAACACGGGTAAGTCCAGGCTGTGGTCCCAAGCTGGGGAATGGACATCAGAAAGAGCCAGAAACCGATGGAATTTGAGTCCCTGAGATGGCACAGGAGAGCGAGGAGCAGTAGGAGGAAGCTGCTCTAAGGCTGGCAGAGACTCCCACTCCCCTCCCTGGTATGGAGGCTGATGGGGAGGAGGTCAGAGCTGATGGAAATCGAGGAGATAAACTGCTTTGATGCAGTGCATAGGGCTGGGAAGGAAAAGAAAGGCTTGGATTGAGTGGTCTCCTCAAGTCAGAAACCACACAATGCTTTATTGGTCATTCCCACAGGGAATGTTCTTGAAAAGGAATAAATAGAAAATCTCACAGCTCCTGCAGTCGGCCCAGTGTCCTGATAGCCCCAGGGAATTCCAGCAGCTCGTTGTAGTTCAGATCCCTGAAAGACAGAGAAGGGAAAAACATCCATTAACATTTCTGCAGGAACTCAATCATGTTTAAGGGTTGATAATAAGGAAGACAAGTTTTCCTACCATGCTGATCCAGCCAGTGCCTGGAATCACAATTCCTGCAGCAGGAATATTCCCTGCTGGGAGCATTGCCAGGTGAGAGCCAGTCCAAGCCATGGCTGCTGCCCTGGGGCTCTCCCTGCCAAGTGCCCTGTGCCCAGCACTGCCCAGTGCTGCTGCTCCCATCTCCTGCTGGCCCTGGCCCCTTCTCCCAGGAGCTCAGCCCCAGGGCTTCGGCTCTGAGGAATTTTTCTTGCCTTTCCAGGTCAAAATGGGATTCTTTGAAGGACAAGAAACATGAACAGCATCAGTTGTGTGGGGCCCACAAAGGGCTGCTCTGGGCCCCTCGCCCTGTGGTGCAGAGGGGATCAGGGACCATTCCCTCAGTGTTTGTCCTGGGAACACCGGGTCCCTGGCCACTGGGATGTGCTGTGACTGGGAACAGTGGGAAGAGGAATCTGGGGCAAGACTTAGGTCTTCTTCTGATGGCTGGAGTCAACCTGACACTGGAATCTGAGTCAAAGCTGGAAGTGACCTGCAAGAGGTACTGACATGGTTGAGCGTTAAGTTTAATTTGCTGTGTAGTAAAATAAATAAAATCTACTACATTGGTTGTAATGACAAGTGTAGAATTTACTCACCCTGGCTTGGCAACTAAAAGAGACACCTGAGTCTGAGTGAAATCTCAAGAGTTGTGTTTGTTCTCCAAGGATGCGATTAACCTCTGGAAAAGGATTTGTTTGACCTTTGGGGCACTGCTGGCAACCTGGGAGGAGCAGCCCTACAAAGGCACCAATCCTGCTGCAGGCTGGAGGGTGCCCATGGAGACTGGCTGGGCTTTGGGTGTGCAGCCCTTCTCCAGCATGCCCAGCTTTCTCCTTGGAAGGCGATTTCAGCTGTCACAGTAACATTTGACCCTGTCCTGGCCATCCCACTTTGCAATTCACTGAAGTCTCAGGGCATGTGACTGCTTCCTACCTGCATGACACTCACCAAGTTTTAAGTGGTAGATACTTTGGAACATGATTACTGGCTCCTGGAGATTACTGTATAATTACACTTAATGAACCTCAAAGTAATTACCATGTAACCTGGATTGTGGTTTATGGAACAGAAATAACTGAGCATTTACACAGCAATGGGCTGCTGCCCAATTACCCTGTAATTCTCATCCTCTGGGCCCAGGCATGGTCATTATGATCTCTCTTGGCCCCTTTGTCTCTTACATCTTCTCTCACTACCAGTGCCTCTGCTTGGGAACAGCTCCATGGCACCACCTCAGCTTTGCCCTGAAGGTGTTTACATGGGAAATCAACCCAGAGAGTCTCTTCAAATCAGTCCTTCCAGGACTTCTAGCTTATAGGATTTATGTCTTAGGGAATGCTTATCATGGAATTACAAGAGAGGGCACAAACCCAAGAGAAAAATATGGAATGAAGTTGTTGTGGGTGGATTTTGTCTCGTATAGCTCTGACAAGGTCCACACCAGCCCTTGTTGCTGGATTCCCTGAGAAGCCCAGGGCTGTGGCAGGTCCTGCTTTGTCCCCTGACACTAAGGGCAGTTTTCCCCGCTCCAGTTACACAGGGATCTGGATGCTGGTACTCTGTGTAGGGATTTGAACAAATGAATCCTGCTCCTGTAGGACTCAGAAGGGGTTCATGTTGGCTAATAGCTGGCAGTGGTGGCAATCAGCAGGGAAGATGCACAGGGCTGGCAGTGAGACCATGAGCTCTGCCTGCCTGGTGCCCACCTTGCTGGCAGGGTCCCTGCACACCTGAAGCTGCTGTGCCTGTCCCAGGGCCAGGAGTGGACCAGGAGTGATGTGTCCCCTCCTCACACCTCCTCACATCTGCTAGACAGGAGAGCTCTGCCTCTCCCCAGACTTGCTCTGACACTCTGTTTTTATCTGGCTCCAAGCAGATCAGTGGTTTTCCTCACTCTTTTCTGCTTGAGCCCAAATTGATCTGTTCAAGGATAAATAGCTCAACACATGACTGCTCATAGCCTCCCCCTTTGCCTGTAGCTCCCTATCAGCTCTTGGATCCTCTTGGCCAGTGTCTGTAGATGGCACCTGCCAGGTTCCATCAGGGCCTGGCTGAGGGCTCTCATTGCACAGGCTTGGTTACCAGGGGCAGGACTGTTAATGTCACATCCCTTCTCTGCTGCTCAGGAAGACACAGGAATGGATTTCCCAAGTGAACAAGCAATGGGAAGTGCCCCCACTGGGCATTTTCAAAGCATCAGTCAAATCTGATTAACCTCCAGATCACTGCACTGGTTGAAATCAGAGGCATCAGCAGAGAAGTCAACTGACAGCCCCAAATCATGCACATAAGGTGCATAATCCCTCTAAAAATTTCACTCTGCAGTGACTCCCTGAAGTTAGAGGGAGATTCCACAGGGAGCAGGACCCTGCAGAGGTAATTCAAGGCTGGGTGTCTGCCTGTGTCACTTCCCTCTCCTGCACCACAAACTGGGGCTGGGATGAGCCTGTGTGATGCCAAGAGACAGTCCCTGGAGAAGAGACACTGTGATCCCCAGCCCCGGGTGACATTCAGCCCACACTGCCACTGTGGAGGCTTCCTGTGATGGCACAGGGCTGTTTCTGTGAGCTGCTGACAGATGGAAAATATTGCCCAACAGAGAGGAGGCTTGGCTCACCTGTGATTCACTAACAGAACAAGGGATCTTAGATCTGCAACCAGTATTATTTACAAGGAATAATTCATTGTGCTGTAATATTTGCTCCTGTCTTTAAAAATGTGTTTCCTTTCCAGCCTGCACCTCTTCCAGGCAGGCTGGTCTTTCATCAGCAGATGAAGGTTCTGTTTGTACCTCAGCATGTGTGCAAGTATGTACAGGACCAGTTCTTCCTGAGCGAACACACACCGTTCCCAGCCCTGGCAGCATCCTGGGGCCTCCCTCCCCTCTGCATTTGACAGAGACAAAGAGCATTCATTGTGTTCAGCAGCTCCTGCCGGGTAAAAGCCCATCTTGGAATGCTGGCAGACACTGGGCTTGTTGGAAAGTGGAAATGCACCCAGGTGTAGTCATGCTGCCAGCGACCCTGCTCTGTTCAGAGCAATGTGCCTGTGCTCGCTCCTGCCCGTGTTTCCTGGGCTTTGGGCAGGTGAGCCTCCCTCCTGGAAAACAACCCAGCTGCTCTGGGGAACAGGTCCCTGGGTGCTGCTCACAGGTGGCTGCTCTGGAGCTCTCACTGCCCTGACTTGTCTCCAGCTCAGCTCCCGGCCAAGCTCTGCCCAGTTCATGGGGTTCAGCTGGCTGGAGGGGGCTGGAAGAAACCAGCACTCAGGATGGTCCTCAGATATCATCTCTTCTCTGCAGTGGGGCCACTCTTCCCAAAGCCCAGACCCAAACCATGACGTGAAAAATAACTCCCTGTCCCTTCTTCTTTCACAGAACTGGAGTTGGGCTCTGGCCCAAGAAATGACCCAGAAACTGCATCCAACCTCCACCGTGGTGTTCCTGTCTGTGGGGAAGTTTCTGTTCATTTAGTGAAATTCAGTCCTCTCATCTTCCCACAGCTGCTATCAGCGTCCATCTGTCCCAGACCTCTCCTCTCTGCCTGCTGTCCCATGGGGAATTTGGCCCAGCCTGCTGGTGGCTCTCTGGAGCTTTTTCCCCAGCATAGGGCCAAGGCAGATTGGAAGGACTCATGGCTCATTGGGTCAGGGATGATTTTGCTTTTTCACTCCAGTGGCAGCACAATTTCCTCTCCTGAGCATGTCAGTGAGCTGCCCCTCAACCACAAACCCTCTCCAGGAGCTGGTGGATGTAGGAAATGGAGGTGCTGTAGCAAACACCTTGAAGGGTTCCCTTTCTCTCCCTGCCTTATCTGAGCTACTTGGGCAATGCTTTGCTTCCCTAGCTCCACAGCCTGACACTTTCCCACTGCTTCCAGATTTGGGATGATGCAGGGAAAGCTGAAAAAAGCCACTTCAGTGCTGCCATGCACTGTTGTGCCATGGACTGGGGTGGCCCAGGAGGACTCTTGGTCCAAGGGAGCTGGACCTGGCAGTGCTGCCCCAGCTCTGGGGTCTGACCCAAGGCTCTGGGTGAGGTTTCCTGGCTGTGGAGTGCTGTCCTTTTTGGCACAGAGCAGATCAATGGCAGCGTTCCTTGGTGGAAGGATGGCAATACACCATGGCCATGCCTATGCCAAACAACAGGGAGGCCTCACAGCAATCAAAAAAACATTAAAAATAATGAGCATGGCATAAGGGAGTTTTCCCCATTATCAAGGGCTTTTGAAAGCAAAATCAGTCAGGTAAGAGGATCAGGACTGATGTGCAAGAGCACTGACAACGAATAATCCCTTTCCTCAGCTCAAAGTGATCAGCTCCAGCATGGCAGTGGGATGGCAAGAGGAGCCTTGTCTGTTCTCCTTGCAATGGAAGCCTCTGAAAGGTTGCCCAGTCTGCCCTAGATGCAGTGAACTGGCTGGTTTTCCATTGTTTTTATTGCTAGAGGGAGCCTATAGCTTCATATTTGGATGATCTTAACCAACCCAGTTGTTTATTTAGAAATAAAAGTGAGTTGACATCAAAGGCCCAGTTATTTTGGGCTTTAACTGCCAGGGTGATTTGAAGCTGACAGCAAGCAGCCTGGAACTATTAATATCTTCAGTTATGCCAAAAGGAGAGAAGGAGGGGAAAGAGTCTCAGGTCAATTTTCTGCCTGTTAGGGACTATTAGTGGTTTCACACAGGAAGCCAAAAAAAATAAAATTATATAGTACTATAAATTCTTCCATAAGCCACAAAACACCACAAATTTGCAGCTAATAAACCTGAAGATGAAGTGAGATTAGAAGTTGTAAATGGGACATTTGCTGACTATTTCAGTCCCAGTGGAGCTGGAGATGTTACCATGGTGCCTGGAGGGGACTTTGTGCAGCCTCCTCTGAGGA